TACTGAATACATTCAAGAAGAGGGTGTTACTAATACTTTAACAACTATGCAGTCCATAAATCTTTTAGGATACAGTTAAAGAAACACTAAAAACATCACATTGTTGCCTTTTTTTTTTGTTTGTTTTTGAATATACTGTTAAGAGTAGCAGAAACTGCCATTTACTCTATGTTTGGACAGTGCGTAGCAAATGGTACCCTGACCTCCTGAGATCTCTGGCCACTACTGCAATTAACCATAATCGTCACCACATTTTATCATCACCACCACCTACATTTACTGTAATATTCGGAAAATAGCTCTAATTTTCTCAGTGTCTTTTTGGGATTTGAAAGCACTTTATCTAATGAGTATCACTTTTTGCCCTGGGTAGTTAATTTCCCTTTCTTATTGTGTAGTTTGTTCGCAAGGAAACAGGGCAAAGAGAGCATTTTAAATACAGAAAGAAGGCCCCCATCCTCCCACGTGCAAGTATTTGTGGATTAGCTGCATCCACTCCAAGCCCCATCAGCATCAGTGGGACTCCACACAAGGGCAGCAGTCTGCTCTCCAGCAAAAAGATCCAGGGCAGTTGCATGGCTCAGAGATAAGTGGTACCTGAATCGATTATGTCTTGTGGACATTTATGGATTTTCATAATTTCTCACGCTCAATGTTGCCAGCCCCAGTGGAAGAAATTCTGAACAATTAGTAAAGGTTTATTCATAGTTGTTCATGCTCTGAACAATTTAGTATCTAGTACTTATGAAGACTGAATTCACAGAGCTGTTTCTGTAGAAAAAGTGTACGGACTTCTTCCAGGAAACAGTTTTCACTGTCTCACTGTTTCTTTGAACTCCCCCACCTGTCTGTATCAGTCTGTTGTCTATTGCCTTATACTTAGACAGTAAGATCTTTGGAGCAGGGACTGGGGCTTTTTTGGTTTGTTTTTTGTTCTGCATTTGTATAGCACCTAACACAATGGTGTCCTGGTCCATAATAAATAAATAACAATGAAACATAGGTTAATTTAATAGTTTTTCAAATGAACCTGAAACTTGTCTTTCTTGGTAGAATCAATGTCAATGAAGTGGTCAGCTTCAGGGTTTGAAGGATAAGCTAAGGAATTGCTACAGAATCCATACACTCAAGTGAAGTCTCATATTTATGCTCAAAATCATCATTTAAAGTAAGCTATCCAAATGCAAAATGAAAAATACTGGGCCCAATCATTCAAGGATTCTCAGCCCTTTCTACAAGGTACTTCGTGATCTCAATTCCTACTTAATGCAAACAGAGGGAACCATAAACTCTAACAAAAAAGTACCTAATCTAACTGCCATTGAAAAAAGTTAGCCTGATGATCGGTGACTTAAAAATCAAATGCAGGCAGGGGGCACTTAGATGTTAGGAGTCTTAATAGGAAATAGTACAAGATAAGATGACTTGGTTAAAAAAGAGTCAGGAACCTTATTTGTAAGTACTGAATAAAAACCTAATAGACCACAGTTATGTTTGTTCTTACCAGGAGGCCTCTTAAACACAATCTCAGAGCTGAGATCAATCCTGGTTTAGGCAACGAAACAGGGGAAAGTTCAAAGGACAGAAAATAATGCCTGATTTAAGTGTGGTAACAGCAGGAGCAGGAAAATGCTTACAACCATCAAAGCATTTACAAGAGAGTATATTCCAACAACAATACTTTACGCAGCAGAAATCTGTGCACTCTGCAAAGAAAGGGCAAATGTCTTCTGGGATGTTTTGGCAGCCGGTTGGCTCTTGGACAAGTTTAGAAAAGACGAAGTAAGAGTTTCCTAAAATAATTTTGGAATTAAAAGTAACTAAGAAGCAGACCTCTTTTTGAAGCCCACTTAAGGCAGGTCTAGCCTTAAAAACTATATATACATAAAATGATGGGGTCTAAATTAATTGTTATCACTCAAGAGAGAGATCTTGGAGTCAATGTGGATAGTTCTCTGAAAATATCCACTCAATGTGCAGCGGCAGTTAAAAAAGCAAACAGAACGTTGGGAATCCTTAGGAAAGGGGTAGATAAGAAGACAGAAAATATCATATTGCCTCTATATAAATCCATGGTACGCCCACATGTTGAATATTGTGTGCAGATGTGGTCACCTCATCTCAAAAAAGATATATTGGAATTGGAAAAGGTTCAGAAAAGGGCGACAAAAATGATTAGTGGTATGGAACGGCTTCCGTATGAGGAGAGATTGATAAGACTGGGACTTTTCAGCTTGAAAAAGAGACGGCTAAGGGGAGATAGGATTGGTGTCTAGAAAATCATGACTGGGGTAAAAAAAGTAGATAAGGAAGTGTTGTTTACTACTTCTCATAACACAAGAACTAGGGGTCACCAAATAAAATTACTAGGCAGCAGGTTTAAAACAAACATAAGGAAGTATTCACACAACGCAGAGTCAACCTGTGGAACTCTTTGCCAGAGGATGTTGTGAAGGCCACAACTAGAACAGGGTTAAAAAAAAAAAAAACTAAGGTAAGTTCAAGGAGGATAGGTCCATCAATGGCTATTAGCCAGGATGGACAAGGATGGCGTCCCTAGCCTCTGTTTGTCAGAAGCTGAGAAATGGGCAACAGGGGATGGATCCGTTGATGATTACCTGTTCGGTTCATTCCCTCAGAAGTGCCTGGCATCGGCTACTGTTGGAAGACAAGATACTGGGCTACATGGACCTTTGGTTTGACCCTGTATGGCTGTTCTTATGTTCTCTTGCAAGTGTCTTTCTTCCTATAATTCTCCTGTACTGTTCTCTGCAAACTAATGAGTTTATCACCAATTAAAAGTAAACATACCAGCCATAACAACTTGATAGTTTGATGTTCAGTGAGGGCTCACTGAACATATTTATGTTGCACTCTGACAAATAATCATGACAACGCTGTTTGACAAGAAGTAGCAAAGTAAAAGGTTGAATTGGAGCTTACACTTTAGCCCGGTTTTCAGATGCGCGTCATCACTACCTCAAAAATTCTACTTTTCCACTGTATTTTCCAAGTTTAGGAAAAGGCCAAAAGTGATCTGAAAATTAGAATGAGATCTAATTTGCCAATTTGAGTAATAAGGTGGTGGAGGAAGACAACTTTCAGCTATAGGAAATTATTCTATATATACTTGCACACACAACTAAAACAGTCACCTTGGAAAGCTGCACGGATGACAATTATAACAGTGCAAACCTATAATTTAGGAACTTTTTCACTGTGAAAAAGGTCTTGCCTCACATGGGGCTTCTGGGCACTACTTCAATACACACTATCAGCAGCAGCAACCTGCATAAACTCAACGAGCAGATTTAAAAATATATCATGAAGTTAGAAGACAGATTAGCATTTTACTCTTTTCTTCCAACGGAAAAAAACCTGAAAGTTTATATGATGTTAACGTTACAATTTTTATCCTTCAGAACTTCCTCTGAGATATCTTAACTCCTCCACACCACATATATAGAACATTATAGATAGTGCTAAATGTAAAAAAAAATAATTAATAAAACAGGTACATTTCAGCCTCAAATACGCACATACAATTTCCACTCACTCCAATGAAAACTGCACAGATATATGCAACAGCAATGATGAGTACTATGTGTGCACTGTAGACAAGTTAAACTCCTAGAACCAAATCATATATCTTGACTTGAATGTTTAAAATAGTTACATTAGTATACTTTTTTTTGCACTGAACAGCTTAACAAGTAATAAGGTATAGAACAGTCTAGCTTATAGCCTTGGTGCAATTTTTTGTTAGATGTGGAAGTATGAATCTTTCTTTCCATTCCTGATTATGCCACTAGATTTAATAACTATTTTAGAATACTTCTACCGTGGAAAAAAGAAGTTAAGATACACACTTGCAGATTAGATATAGTTTCAAGCAGCTAAAGTAGTTTGCACTGAAAGCAATACTCTCATTTCTCCAAGTCAGGGTCTCGAACGTTTTCATGTTGTGAACCACTTCTTTACATATATTCCTCCCATTAGATCGGTCTCTCTCAAGATCCTGCAGACCACCTCTCATCCTATTTGCAAGGACATAACATCCCTGCTGCCACAACAGCCAATACTTGTCTAGAAATGAAATGTCAGAGAAACATTTAACATATTTTAGCAGCCATATGGCAGTAAAGGAAACTAGCATCTTGTGACCAGATAATTCTGCAGACCACTAGCAATCAGTTAACGGCCCACACCAGGGCTTCAGATCAGAAAACAAGATAACTCCACATTGCACCCGGTCCCACACATCTAAGGGTATATCCCCGCCCCTGCTGATGTGGGGGGTAGGAAAGAGAAAGTATTAACAGCAATATGCCAAAGGCAAAACTTGGAAACGGAGCCAGCCTTCGTTCTGGAAGAGGAAGGGACGGGGAAGCAGCGCAGGAGAAGGGGAAAGATGGGTTATTTGTGCGGGTGAGTCACGGCTCGACCACCTTACTCGGACTTGTGAAGGGTTCGGCGCAATCTCTAGCAATGCTGTGTACAGAGAGGGTCACTTAGCTCGCAGTTTGCTCCTCCATAAGACTAACCCAGCCGAACCCGGAACCGAGCC